ACAACTGAGCTCAATCGTCTATCTAAACAAAACCCATGAGGATGATTGATTAATTTAAGTAGTAAGACTGAATTTCACTTCCTGATGCATCTCATGCAGCAACAAGGCTGCAAAGCTGCAGGAACTAAGAAAACAAACAAGAAGATGAGGAGGAAGACCACAAGATGAAAGCGCATTTTGCTCTTTCTTCCCATCTGTGCATTACAAAATTGCTGGATGGTAAATAGTCCATAAACTTTTAGTTTCCATGTGCTCTTCGGAGCACTCATGAAAAGAGACGTTAATGAACATCGATCAACGCGCACAGACACACACACATAGGCACAGGCTTACTGATCCAACAGCTGCTGAAGTTAAGTTTTAGAGATCAATGTTATAGCTTCCGTTATGCCCTACTGACGACTGCAATTATTCATTAAAATACAGTTAATCATTCACCGTTAATTGATGGCTTGGAGAAGAAAATCCTCAGCAGATGACGTTTTAATAGACGATCACTTGATGGCTTGTTTTATTTCACCTAATTTTATTTTAATATTAGTCATCTTTTGAAAGAAAAAATATTAACGATGTTTTTAAAGCTCGTCTTAAGAAATATTAAAGTCAGAGGGGTTTCTTTTAAATATTTTTAAGGATTATATATATCCGACATGCTGGTGCTCCGTTGGCCTTTTCTGCCCAGAACTGAACTTCTGAACTGACTTCAGGTGTTATTCCAGCAACAAACAACAATTAAAAACGCTACGTGACAAAGCAAACCGGTCTGCTCTGTTTGTCCGAGACTGTCCATGTAGCAGCGACCACCTGTTTCCTGCCTCCTCTGCTCTCCTCACCTCGCGCAGTGTACGAGGAGAAATTAATTCGCTCCATATCTTGAAGGCTTAAACAAGGCAGTGACGCCCTGGCCCCTCCCCTCCGCAAACCGACAAGTAAATCCGCACAATTAGCAGGTCCACATTAGCATATTAACCTGTGCTTCTTTCCGAGGCGCATACTTTATGTAGGTCAGACAGCATTTTCTTAATTGTTTTTGCTGCTGATAAGGACAAACATCTTCATCGGCCGTTTGTTGTGGTTGCCTTCATTATGCCAGTCGTTATTTTGGCTGGAAAGCTGCAGGCCCCCACACACACATGCGGCTACAGGACCGACTTAACGAACGCTCAGGGCCATATGAGGCCGGTGTCTGATTAGAAGCAAACCAGACTCATAAACAAGGCCAACACATGTGCACGTAGACTGCGAGCAGACAGTATTGTGGATTTTTAGGCTAGTTGTGGTTCCCCTCTAACTGAACAGAACAAATGAACTGACACTAATGAAAAATAAATGTGTAACAAGCATTCTTTTTTAACCTGTTTGTATGAGGCTCGCAGCACGGAGGCCCACACCCACTCCATGCATCAGCAGTTGTTTTAAGTGCTGAATGTGACAGAAACTTAAATCTTAAGGGGAAATTACTATCAACATAGGCGCATTAATGACTACAGGCTGCAGTAATCTATAAGTAAGTTGTCTTCCACTACAGCAGATCCAAGGAGCCCACTTGCTAACAGATGGGAAATGTGTATTTTATGTGAAACTGGTATATTTTAATTCCATGTGCTGGGTTTCAAATCAGAATAAGATTACTGATTTAAATCTGAAACTTGCAGCTGCGTAAAAATCCCCCAAATTAGCCATAAAATGGCCACATTTGACTGTTTTACCAGTAAGTTAACAGACTGCAGTCCTTAATGCTTTCTGACATGTCTGTTTAGACATTTCGTCCAAATAGATTCGTACAACTGTTGATTGAAAATTGTCCTAAATGACACAGTTTTAGTCGCTAAGGTAACAGTTCACACAAAACACTTATCCATGCCCTCAAAACCTCATCTTCCAAGCTGTCTTCTTTTCTAACTCTCGAGCTAGAAATGTGACAACAGGGCGCCCTGCTCTGTGCAGGAGCAGCGGTCCACCCAGAAACCTTGGGGCTGATCTAAATTCTCGCCTCTGGGCTGTACTGTGCGGGGTCTCGAGCCTTTCCCTGCCTCGTCAGGCGGCAGATGGACTGGCTCCTGTCCGGAGATCAGTGCGCATCTGGTGCGGCGCTCCCAGCGCACGGTAAAGTGAGGCCACTCGTTGGCATTAAGCACTATTAGCACCGTCTACCGTGCAACTGGTGCCTCGGGATGGCTGCCACGGTGTCTGTACACCCTGCATACATATGTATCTGTCTGAGGCAGCAGCATTCACACCAAGGCCTCTTGGCATAAATAAGCTATATGGGACTCATGAGCTCAGCGATCTGTTAAGCTGGTCAATGGAGTGTGCAGATTTTAAGGGAAACGTCTGAGTTGCATCACTTCTGTTTGTAGAAAACCCACTAAAAGGGGTTTAAGGTCGTTTTAACAACAATTTGACAGGTTTCTCGGTTTAATGAGTGCTTGTTTGGGTGGAGCTCTCAAGCCTATACAGCACTAAATTTCAAGTTTCTGATAAAACAGGTAAGCTTCCACATCT